AATTCTATAAGTCTGCTTAGTTCGATAATAGGACTATGAAACACTTGTGACATGTAATAGAGAACGAAAAAAACATCTGAGGATATAGATTATGTAAATGAAGACCTAATTTTCATAATTAATGGGAATATTTTATAATTTCATAGTTGTAACTTCTGGAAGTTTCATACTTGCCACATTTGGAGTTAAGTGAAGGCGAACATCAATAAACATAATTTATTCAAATCATGACCTCATTTGCATAACTTATGAGAAAGTGCTATAATAGCCTTTTTGTGAAGATAAGGTTGTCATTGAGTGGAAAATATGATCAACTGATATAATCCATGGTAATGAGGCTCTTATTTTCCAAATCAATGATTAAAATTGTATGATTCTTCAACCGCAAGGGTTAACATCATTTGGCGAAGGTATGAGATCGTGGAACTCTTGTTGCATATGTGTTTATGGGCGTCGAAATAAAAGGTTTTTAAGTGCTCCGGACACCCCCGTTATGCTGAAAATGGAATTTACCATGTTGTTAAGGAATGGGGAGGTTGCAGTTTTGGGTCTTAGCATTCAAAAGGGGTCAAACAGAGGGGTGTCTGGTTCCGATAAAAATTTTGGGTGACGGCGCAGCAATGACGGCGCGGGATGACGGCGGGGGTAATGGCGCGGGTGACGGTGCAGGCTGTCAGACTGTGACACGTTAATCAACAGTCCATACCGAACCAACCGTCAGTAGCCATCAAACACATACAAACATATTACGCACATAACTTTCATACTACACACAAACAAATAACCTAAAGCAATAGAACACAAAAAAACCCGGAGGTTTGAAATCTACGATTTCCCTTGTTATGCCTTTTAATTGTTGCGCGACTTTCAACAGGCAGGCTGGACCCTCTATGGCCAGCCAACTCCTCTGGTCAATGATGCCCCCCTCTGCCGATTTCTACTATGTATTCAGTCTGCAAAGTCTGGTGGAGACTAACTTAAAGACAAAACTATTAAATCCCAGAAGACAGCCTGCCCCAACCACAATACTGGCTACCAGGCCAGGCTTCATTGCCTTCGACCGAAGGCTATGAAATCGCTTTTGCACTGTTTGGCAAATTATGCACGATAACTCTCGAAGGCAAGGTCCGATGTTCACGATTTTTAGCAGGCAGGTTGTCTTAGGGGTGGTCATTGTCGAGGCCAAAAATGGGCTTCGTGGGGGGTTCCTACGTCACTGCAGTTGACCTTGGTTTTTGTGTTTTTCCCTTGTGTACAAGATATCTCGAGTATCCTTAAATGGAAGTTCATGATTTTTAGTGGGCAAGTTACCGTTGAGAATGCCAAGGTCAAGTTCGAAGATGGGCCCCGTGGGGGTTTCTATGTCACTGCAGTTGACCTTTGTTTTTTGTGTTTTCTCTTGTGTGCAAGATAACTCGAGAATCTTTAAATTGATGTTCATGTTTTTTTAGTTGGCAAGTTACTATTGAAAATAACAAGGTCAAGTTCGGATATGGGCTTCGTGGGGGGTCCCCACGTCATTGAATTAGAAAGTACTGCAGCGAAACTTCTGGTTTTTAAATCTCGTGATCTGGACGTGCAAGGGTCATGATTTTTAGATGGTAGGTAGCTCTCGTGCTCAGAAAAAAGTACCATAAGTTTGGGCCCTGTAGCAGCTTGTTTGGGAAATGCAGAGGCATTTGTTTGAAAATGTTTGAAGTAGGATAGCTCAAGAACCGGTTGACGGATTATTGTTATTTTTGGTATCTCGGTAGCTTAAGTGATGCTTGACCTAATTTGCTGACAATTATGCAAATCACATCTAATTTGCATAATTAATGACAAAAGTCTATATATCTGCTGCGTTCTATGATAGAACAATTAAATTGGCGCTGAATCTGACTTTTTGGATATAACAGTTACTGTGGATAAGGACTCCCCCAGAAAATGCCCTATTACAAACTCATCAGTGTCATATTTTATCCTTGAACAAACAAAGGCCCTCTTTGTTCCCCACACCAGCTACTGTAAATAAACCCCTGTCTTCCCACCTCAATCACTCACTCACTCAGCTCCACATGCAAGTGGTGTTGCTCCTCTCTGGCCCTTTGTGTAAACACAGATGTGGAAGTGGGTCACATCCTTGAGCTATACATTTTCTGGGGCAGGCGAGCAGTTTTGATAGCTCATGATGTAAACCGGCTGGGGTCACAAATTTTTGGTGTCAATAAGGCCTAACTTGCATAAATAGTGAGAAAAATGCTATAAATAGTATAATGCAATAGTGGTGACTGACAGGAATTTCATACTGGCTGCATTTGGAAGTTTGACTTTGACTTTATTAGGATCCACAATTAGCATACAAGTTAAGTGAAGGTGATCATTATTAAACATAATTTATTCAAATCAGAACCTTATGAAGAAATGCTAGAATAGCCCTCTTTGTTTAAGATGAGACTGTCATTGGATGATCAAAAGATATAATTGCAAGTAAGGATCTAATTTCCATAATCAATGTGAAACATTCATAATTTGTCAGTCAGAAAGGTTAACATCATTTGTCGAAGGCATGGGTTCGTGGAATTCTAGTTTCTATATGCAATGATTAATGTTCGACTTCACTTTTTGTTAGCCATTTTCTCCAATCAACTTTGGTTCACTTTGTGTCTTAGTTTCAAAGATTTCGACAACCGCTTATTCAACATAAGCGGTCAAGAGGCATCTCGGATGGACCCACAGCAGCGATGGATGCTGGAGTGTTCGTACAAGGCCTTAGAGAACGCTGGCATCCCTCTGAAGAATGTATACAACACCGACACTGGCGTTTTCGTTGGTAAGAGATGAATAGCTGTTTCTTCAAGTGGGGTGGCTAAAAGCCACCAACTTCACTTTTGTAATTATGTAAGAAAATGTGTGTCATTTCATACGAGTCACCTCATAAGTACAAGTTTAGATTTGCGCAGAGAAGCAAAACAACCTCAAGATGCCATGGTGATGCCTTTTAAAATTATATCATTCCACAGGTGTCATGAACTACGATTACTACTGGAATTCTACATTGGACATCGCAGAGGTATCAAGCAACACGGCGACTGGGGTTTCTACCCCTGTTGTTGCCAACCGCGTGTCTTATGCCTTCAACCTTACGGGACCCTCCATGACGGTCGACACCGCTTGCTCATCAGGAATGACCGCCTTGCACCTCGGATGTCAGGCTATCCGTGCAGGTTTGCTTGTTCTCCAATGAGGCCTTTCCTAAATGATTTTTTTTTAAATTCTTAGAATATATGATCGCTCAGGACTATTTTACAGAATGCACCTTACAACCGTTATTCCATTGTCTTATTTTGTACAAAGGGACACATTAATATTCTTGTCAATAAGCAGAAAAGAAAATATATATTACCTTAATTAAATGATTCACTGGTCATAGCTGCAAATGTAATTTACTACATGTATAAATTCTCTTTCCAAACATGGGAAATACATGGGTGAATGAGCAGAAGTTACAAGCACATTGTGTACCACATCACGTTTCATATGTATGGTAACGTTTAGACCTTCTCTGACATCCTAATCAGATTTTTTAAAACTAAGGTATCAGGAGCAATGGGTTGATGCTATCTCAGACGTTAGAATATCAGGTGCTACAAATATATATGAATCAGTGTAAACATGTCAATCATTACTCCTACTAGTCCTAAACTCTCAACGAATCATAATTTGAGTATGCCACAAACACCTACCGGCCAATTATTTGCAAAACTGTACACGGGACCCATCGCAACTTCCTTTAACTGATGTCGCCATTTCTCTCCATTTTCGATCAACTGATTGATCCTGATTTAATATTCATATACAGGTGACTGCACAATGGCGATCTGTGGCGGTGTCAACTTCATCCTGAATCCTGGCATGTTCGTACAACTGTGTCGTGCCGGTATGGTGTGCCCAGACGGTCGCTGTAAGCCGTTCTCCGCTGCAGCTAACGGCTACGCACGAGGGGAAGGCTGCGGTGTTGTCATCATCAAAAGTTGCAGAAAGGTATGGGAGTTATGTTTTATATAGTATACCGCAATCAATACAGCCATTAGGCACATTTCCTCCATGGAAGTGGGGGGGGGGTATTGTATGTGTTCCGTATATTTGTGGTCCACGTAACGTAAGAAGGACTGGATGGATTGCTGTGATATTTTATATGTGATTAGGTGTTGGGAAGACAAACGTCCACGTTCAGGCCACCTGCAAACTTTTATTGATACTGGAGAAAAACGACTTTATTTATTTTGTCCTGGACTTCCTATGTGTACATGTATATGCTTTAGTTTTTTTTAAAATGACGGACAGCTTTTCATGTCATGAAAAAGGGATGAAGTTGTAACCCCCCATCATCACCCCTCAATCCGAGAATTTTTATTCGTTCTCTTTAATAGAATGCATGGATATGCATGCAACAGTTTTGCATCACCTTACAATTCTGATTACATCATCAAAAGCAATGGTTTGATTATGTCACTGCTACCGTTTAACTGTGCCCTAGCTATAATCGGTAGAAATGGCAATCTAGTTAGTTCTACGGATATTGTTATTCATGAACAGGCGGTGATGGATAAGGACAACATCTGGGCCACGATCAAGACAGGGGTAAATCAAGACGGACGTTCTGCAATACCCATGACTTCCCCATCCTCATCTCAGCAGGAACAACTGATTCGCCGACTATACGAGCAGCACAGTGTAGATCCTAGCCAAATTGACTACATAGAAGCACATGGTACAGGGACGCCCGTGGGGGACCCAGTGGAGGCCAAGAGTCTTGGAGCAGTCATTGGGCAGTCAAGAGACAGCACAGAACCGCCAGTTCTAATCGGCTCAGTAAAGAGTAACTTTGGTCATCTCGAGTCAGCAGCAGCCATGGCAGGGCTTATCAAAGTCTTACTGATGATGAAGCACAAAAAGATCGCGCCGACACTGCACTTCAACGAGCCCAATCCAAACATCGACTTCGTCGGTCTCCGAATCAAAGTTTGTACAGAAGCCATCTCCTGGCCTTCACAGGACAAGGACAAGATGGTGGGCTGCGTAAACTCCTTCGGTTTCGGAGGCTCAAACGCGCATGCCATACTTTTCTCAGGACCACCCACTGGGGTAATTGAAGATCTAAGCAGGTCTGAAAAAACAAACATCATAGCTGTGTCGGCCAGTGGGAAAGAATCTTTGCAAGCCTCTGTCGAAGGTTTGATTTCGTTTCTGGAAAAGAATCCACGAACCTCCCTTAGCAGATTGGCATATACATCTTCTGTCAAGAGAACACACCATAACTATCGCCTTGCTTTTCCAGTCCAGTCCCTTGAACAACTTAATCTTGAGCTTCAGAAAGCACAGAAGGGTGTTTTCGGACCGAACAATAGTTCAGGTCCGAAGAACACAGTTTTTGTCTTTTGCGGAATGGGTACTTTATGGGAAGGCATGTGCATTGAGTTGATGGAGAAAGAGCCCCTTTTCAGTCGCAAGGTTAAAGAGGTGGATGAGATCTTCAAGAGATTTGCTGACTGGTCCCTGATCGACAAGCTTCAAAATGCAGAGGGCTTTGATGATCCCGCTGTTGCACAGCCACTGATATTTGTCTGCCAGGTTGCCCTGTTTCATCTGTTGATGACCTGGGGGATTGTGCCGAACAAAATCGTTGGCCACTCCGTTGGCGAGGTAGCAGCAGCTTGTTGTTCAGGTGCCCTTTCTTTACCAGATGCCGTTAAGGTCATTTACCACAGGGGGTATTTGCAGAGTCAGGTCACTGGTGGCAAGATGCTTGTAGTCGGCAACTATGAAGTCACAAAGGTGAACGAGTGCTGTCAGAAATTTGCAGGCAAAGTTTCTATCGCAGCTGAAAACAGTGGGATGTCATGCACAGTATCAGGTGACGCAGATGCAGTAGATAGTCTGCACCAGCTTTTAGATAAGATCAACTCAGAGGAGGAAGAGGGAAGAATGTTTATTCGAGAGCTCAACGTCAAGTCTGCTTATCACAGCCATCACATGGACCCCATCTGTCACAAGCTGCGAGACGCGCTTAATGATATCAAGGCGACTGATCCATCTGTTCAAGTGTTATCCACTGTCACTGGGGATTTGGCTTGCCAAGATTTTGCCTGCAATGAATATTGGGCAAAGAACGTCAGAAACCCAGTAATGTTCAACTCAGCCATGAAAAGGGCAATCGACGCAAAAGCTAGCAACGTTGTCGTGGAAATAGGACCAAGGCCAGCACTTCGTACAAATATCAAAGAGATCGCAGGTGAGGCACAACTGACCCTTGTTGCCTCGTCCAGGCCAAAACAAGAGCACGCAAGCATTCTTCGGTCTCTGTGTGACCTATATCAGGCTGGCTTAGATCCCCAGTGGAAAGCGTTCTTTGATGAGGATGAAGTTTATGTCCCCCTACCTGTACCTCGCTGTCATCTGAACAGGCAGTCCTTATGGTTCGACCCAGAGGCCGGGATCTCTGTGAGGCAGGAGAATGATAGCAGCGCAGGCTCAGTCCAGTCACACTTGAAAAGGCTGTCAAACAGCCCTCCAAGGTTCCGATGCTCCATCACAGAGTCCACACACCCATATGTGTATGATCATACTCTGCAGGGTATGGTTGTTGTGCCTGGCGCCCAGTATGTAGATCTCGGTTTAGCTGCCAGTATGGAAGCCATGAAGCCCCGCCAGCCCCCGCCAAATTGCAGGCTACAAATCGAATTCCTCTCTCCGGCAACAATAGGGCAGCAAAGTGATAAAACCGACCTTGTTGTCAGTGTCCACCATGATGAGACGGCACGAAGAATCATATTTGAAGAGAGAACCGATAGAGCACTGCATGCAAGAGGCCATGTGGAATATGACAGCGAGCGCCAGCCTGTCCTTTATCATGCCAACCTCGCAGCAATTCAAGAACGCTGCTCCAACCTACTACCAGAGGGAATTATCTACGGCGAATTCAGGAAAGTGGGTTTCCATTACGGTCCTTCCCTTTGCCAACTCAAGGACTGTCGGTATAGCAAATCATCTATGCACCCAGAAGCATTGTCTATGGTAGAAGTACCAGATGTTGTATCTCAGGACATGCACAACTGCTGTATCCATCCTGCGCTGCTTGATTACGTGTTGCAGTCTACAATATTGCTCATGATCAACGATGCTGATGACAAAGAAACGCTGTTGCCTGCTTCAATAGGGAGCGTTGTCTCCGTGAGGCCCCCTGAACTCAGAATGTGGGTATACGTTCGCCAACTGTACAAAACAAAGGATGCTTTGTGCTGCAACGGAGCGCTGCTGGGAGCAGATGGACAGGTCATTGTTGAGATCCGAAACATCGTCTGTAAAGTTCTGACCGACAAGCAATCAGTGCCCTTTTCTGACGTCACGTACACCATGGATTGGTTTCCATTTGAGTCCTGTTGTGAAGCACCAGAGGAGTCTGTGGCTCAGCTCAAGTGCCTTGTCCTCGCAGATGACTACGGGATCCTAGATAAAATGAGGCACCTTGTCAGTCCTGACTCCATCTTCATCTACCGGGATGAGTTCTGTGAACAAGATTTCAGACTTAACAGCAGCGTCTTACCCTCCATTATACAGCAGAGGGACGAGTCCATTGAGTTCGACCAGATACTCCATTGCTGGGGTATTTCCATGGTAGAGGATTCTACATCCTGCGGCGCGGCACTGAGGTCAGCCGTGGAAGTGGCATGCGAGAGCCTGAGACAACTACTGAAGATGTTGATAGGAATGGATAAGAGTATTCCAGTAAAGGTTGTCACAAGAAACGCTCAACTGCAGATGTGGAATGGGTACACGGAAGAAAAACAAGAAGAGATTCCACCCAATGCCATCGACCTGGTGGGACCGCCGCTTTGGGGTCTTGTCCGCGCTGTGCTCCGTGAACGGGCATACCTGAACTGTCAGCTGGCCGAGCTTGCAACTGGAACTGACGATGAAATTCTCACTCTCGTTCAGGAAATCGCAACAGCTGAGATGTCAGAGTTCACAGAAATCATGTTTGCAGGTAACAGGAAATACTACATTGAAATGCTACCCCGCAACCTAGACAAGGTTTCCTCCATGCATCGACTCAACATCGCAGAGGAAGGAAGCAGAGTAAAACTACAAATAGTGGAGACAAGCAAACAGCAGAGTGTCAGGGCCACATATGATGATGAGACACCTTTCCTGAATGCCGACTACCATGTGCCCCATGCTTATATCAGGGTATCTGCAGTTCGCTTGCACGAGGCTTCCTTTGCACCTGTGATGAATCCAACGGAAGGAAGAGATGTTGTACCATGGCTTGAGGACAGCAACTGCAGCCAGGACCTCCATGCTCTAGACTTTTACGGAACAGTCACTAATGTAACAGAGAAGTGTAAGATTAAAGTGGGGGATGTTGTTTTTGGCTGTTTCCCTGTTGTCGCCAGTTCAACCTTGTGCGTTCCTGTCTCTATCTTGAAGAAAGCTTCTGCTTTCCATCAGCTAGAGAACTTGCCTTGTTTGTCATTGTTGGTGCTTGCTTGGGAGGTCCTGGCTGGTGTGAAGCCAAAACAACGCATTGGTCTTGTTGGCGGGAAAGGTTGCTCGATGTTTGCCTGTGCATTGGATGCCATAGCAACCAGGTTAAAGGTGACAGTGACGAAACTCCAAACCGCAAGCCCTGATGAGCAATACCCTCTGGTTCTTGTTTGGGAAGTGGATGAGGCATGTGAAAGCGCAAAGAAGCTGCAGGCTATGGTTGAATCCAATGGCCAAATCATCATCATCAGAGGTAAAGGCGCTCATGTACACGAAATCTCCCCACTGAACACACCAACTATTTCCAGGCCTGACATACAGTTGAAGATGGTGAACACTTGGCTTCTGTTCAGGGAGGCAAACCTCCTCCGGGTTATGCCTTCTGTACTTAAGTTCCTAACATCCGCTACCAAAAGCTTGTCAAAAAATGATCTTGCTGCCCACTTCATTCCTTTGTCAGAGATTTCCGCATTGAGTATGCCGAGTGATATCAGTTCAGAATCTCTCAGTGAACAGCCAGAAGAAAGTTTGACAGTAGTAGAATTTCAGTCGAAGACTGATGTACCCGTTTGCGTCGACAAAAAACAACTCTTCCGCAAGGATTGTGCCTATCTGGTAGTTGGGGGACTAACGGGCCTTGGTTTGCTAACAGTAAGCTTCTTGGCTGAAAAGGGAGCTGGGTACATCGCCATTATGTCCAGGAGTCACCCCAACGAAGAAACCAATAGCGAGATTTTGGAACTTGCCTCAAGAACGGAAACCCAAGTCGTGTGTCTACAAGCTGATGTTACCTATCTAGATCAAGTGGAAGCTGCCATCCAGAAATTAGAATCGACATTTCCGGGTGTACCCTTGAAAGGAGTATTCCACAGTGCAGTTGTCACAAGCGACGGCGTCCTCATAAACCAAGACCACAGTCACTTTCAAAGAGGCATGGAAACCAAAGTGATAGGAACATGGAATCTGCACATTGCAACTCAGCGTTTCCGGCTTGACTACTTTGTCGGGTATTCGTCCATCGCAGCAATCATTCCAAATGGTGGGCAAACAGGGTACGCCGCTGCCAATGCCTTTCTCGATGGCTTCATGTTCTATCGCAGACAGCTGGGATTGACTGGACAGACAATCAACTGGGGAGCATTGAAGCTCGGTTTACTTGAGAGAAATGAAGCAGTTGCAAAGAAGCTGGAGCAACAAGGGGTGCCAGCCATGGAGCGTCATGACATTGTCAAATATTTGGAGAATTGTCTGTTGCTCAATAAAACACAGCTCATTGTGGCCCAGGTCAACTGGACTCGTATCAAGAGAGTTCAAGCAAGGATGACGGATTCACGTCGCTTTCAAAGGATCCTTAGCAGCATACAAGGCACAGAAGCGCAAGAAAACATGAACGCATTTAACGTCGATATTGAGACGCTGTTGAAGCAATCGAGTGAAGATCAACTTACAACGTTGGAAGCAGTGGTCAAACAGATGTTTGTGCTGCTTTTGATGGCAGATGAGGAGGCGGTAGCTGCCAACTCCTCCGTCGTAGACCTTGGAATAGATTCCCACACAGCTATAAATGCTCAACAGCTAATCAAAGTGCATATTGGGGTGGATATTCCCATCATCATGTTTCTCAGCCAGGACACCACCCTAGGCTCTTTAGCAGAGGCCATACAAGAGCAGCTAGTTAAAGGCGACTCCAGCAAAGTCTCAACGGGAGAGCTTGAGGACCAGGAACTTGACAAGACGCCCCGTTTGCAACATGACAAAAATGAATCAGAAGCTGAAACAGAAGCCATCGAGCCTCTAGCAAATGAAGCTGCACCCGTTCTCAGCCAAGACGACGGCTTCAACCTAACGGGCACTTCGTCCGAGATGGGGCGATTTTCACTCGCAATGACAGATGTCTTCTACCAACAAATGAATAACACGATTAATGACCACGGCATTTCGGCCTGTCTACACGAGCTGTTCGAGAAACAGGTAAGGGATACACCGCAACGAGTGGCTGTCATTTTCAAAGATGCAAATGTCACCTACCAAGAGCTCAACAGGTCTGCGACAGATCTTGCACAGGAACTATTGAAGCTACCACAGCGGAAGAAACAGAGACACGACTGTGTAGGAATCTATCTGGAAACCTCACCAGAATTACTGAAAACACTATTGGCCATTTGGAAAGCAGGTAAAACCATTGTCCCACTTGACATGACCGGGCCTATGGAAAACGTGACCCAACTGATAGAAATGTGCAACATCCAGGTCATTGTGACTGATTTCTCTGGATACCCATTGATATCTACCAAGCTCCCCAGATACACGGGTCATGTCATTACTGTCCCTGTGGAGCAGAAGTTGGAGAACGATGATACTGTTCTTCAGAGCGTCCTGCTGCCAGACTCGACTGCATTTTATATGCATGATGCAGGCAATGGTAGAAGGGTTGTCCAGGGTCTGCACTCTGGGGTGTTGAATCGCCTAACTTGGATGTGGGACAACTTTCCCTTCAAAGAAGATGACGTTTGCTGCCTGAAGACTCCTTCGAGGCATCTTGATGCTCTTTGGGAGATTCTTGTTCCACTCCTCAAAGGAGTTCCTGTTGTCGTTGTGACTGAGGGCACGCTGAAATCACCGATTGAGTTTCTGAATGTCTTAAGTGAACACAAGGTCACACGACTTTCGGGCGTATCCAGGGTCTTTTGGGAGAGACTCATTATCGCAGTCGAAAGGGTGTCCCCTGAAACCCAGCCGTGTGTTCGCCAGCTGCTCATGAACGCCGAAAATACAGACTTTTCCATTGTACAACAGGCAATGAAAGCACTCCACGCTGAAGAAGCTACGGTGATGCTTAGTCGTACGGCTTTCTATTCAGGAGTTGTCTTTTGCAACCTCAAGCCAAGCTCTGTAGAGAACGACCTGTCCTTTGTCCCTGGTTACAATACAGCAGCATACGTATTGGATGAAGAACGGCAACTGTGTAAGATCAACCAGCCAGGTGAGCTATGCCTGGTGTCGCCTGGGCTTCCCTATCACGACGCGACAGTGACGAGAAACAGGTTCACCTCCATAGCTGTGGAAAAGGTGGTGGCGACAGGAATCATGGCGGTGCTAACAGAACATGCAGAGATCAGCCTCCTCAAGGGCGGATCCGTGCGGAAGAGTCAGCCACTGATGTCCAGACTGATGAACGGTGGGAAAGGTCAGCACCTTCACGAAATGATGAAAGGTAAATAGATATACAATGTACAATCTATAAAATCACATGTCCCTAATGTTTGTACACTTATCGAGTGCAATGTAGTCTCGTACTTCACTGTAAATACCCGATTTTGCATGAACTTCCAACGAAAGGATGGTTGAACAACATATCAACTTACCAACTTTCTTGCAGGAACTGTCTTCACGAAACGGACGACGAAGGCAAATGCACATGAGCGTTATGTCAGACTAGTGTTGAAGCACAACGATCATCTGGAGGCCACCATTATATGGGGACCGTCAGAAAACCAGCTATCCTCTGAACTGAACGTCAGCAACATCACCGATGTCTCCTCAGGTAAATATTTAAATCCCAGTGTCAAATGCTATCTTCAACACCATGTGCATTTTTATATCACTTGTAGTTAAACCATCATCTTAACTGCTATAAAAGTTACCTCAGATATATTTTTCACTTACGTGAAGGTTAGACAGCCAGGTAATGAGAAACGCCGAAAAACAGTTACTCATTAAGCAACTGGATATGATTTTGGAAACGGTCAGACGTTTCAGGTAGCATCCACTAGCTTTCGTCAGTGACACTGGAGAGTTGTCAGAAAAACCAGTTCGAACTATTGATTGATATAAAAATAAGTGAAGCCTGTTTATGTTTGACTCTTCATTGTTTGTATCTTGGCAGAGAGATCCACATTGATCATCTCCACAGACCAAAGGAAGTTCCTGTTCAAGACGGAGAAAACAGAAGTTCTGCGCATGTGGATAGAGGGACTGCAGTACCTGCGAACGTTTGTTCAATAGGTATGTTTGTGATATGATGCTTATAAACTATTCAGTCAGATGCAACTCTGAATGTTTTATCGGAGCATGTTGTGTATATTTTTTGTGTCGAGAGTTTAACTAGGATGTTCTAAACATTCAAAATATTTGCTGTAGTTTACGAAGCTTTACTTCATCATATCAAATAAGTACTTAATAGCAAAAACATTGACTTTAAAGCTAAAATATACACATTTGTGTGTTTCTTTCAAAGTCAAGAGGTTCATTTCAAAGTCAAGAGAAGCCGTCACTGAACGTTCTACCTGGTCCTGGTGAACGGGTGCGTCTTCATCATCCTATCAGAAATTCAGTTTTAAAACTAATGGAAACATAAACCGCGCGAAAGGAGAGTACAGATAACAAGGGATTCGTTAATTACACGCTTTAATGTGTTGTTAGAAATGGAATTTCTCCATTTAGCTTACAGCCCAACAGATTTGTTGAATTTAAACACTCTTGAAAAAAAAATAGGCGGAGACAGAAGTAATAGAAGTACAATGTAAATAACGCTCTAAAAATAGTAGAAGATACATGTAGGAATTTGGTCTGATCCGGCTATATTCATAACTCATATATTTAGCTACAATATACTGCCAACTAAACCTTCGAAATATTTTTCTTTTACTAGTAGTATATTTAAATGAAGAAGACAGATTATGCTCCATTTACAGAACGTACGAAATGCTGTAATGAAATTTTAGGCCGAATACCAAACAGCACTATAAAAAACTAGATTGGCAGCTGTAGTATTATTTCCGTTAAAGACATATTCAGTGTCTCAGAGATCATAACGTCTGAGTCGTTACTCATTGTCAACAATAATTAGCAATGTAAATACTACTTAGTGTATTAGAATATAAAGAATATATTGTTAGTCCGTGTCATGAAAGCAATTTACGTTCTTGGTATACAGTAAACAATGTAAAATAACTGATACATTTTCTATTAGATAACGTTTATAATCAACAGTTAAACCTACAGACATGTTAAAATTCAGCAATCCCCAATCTTCACTGTGGAAGAATTCCGGTCTTGGAAGTGTGAAACCAGAACAATTTTACACAAATTATACCGAATGATGTTACCCTGTGAGTAGTTGTCCCACAAATGGAACGTAAGACGTCGACAGGAGTCTGGAATCATCTAATGTTCTATTGCTGGAATCATATTTCAGTTGTCTATATAATGTACATTTAATTTGACTGAAGAATAGCCAACCTTTACATATATATGTTTTAACATATATATGTAAAGGTTGGCGCATGGCCCTTCAGTGAAATTAAAAGCAAAAGTGCTAGAGCCAGTATGGACAGTATCATTACCTTTATGATTAACATTAAACTTTGAAAAAATGTATGAAGTCTTTGTGCCATTTCTATGCTGAGGATATTAGATCGATCAAACCTTTAAAGTCCATGTTTCTAAAGTTGGAAAAAAGTACAATGCATATGAAGCTTTGCATCTGTGTATCCTTGGTGTATATATCCGACAGTTATATTATGCGCGACTCTCAGAACCTCGCAAATTTTCATATTTTCAGGGCACCTAAAATGTAATCAAAGGGAGTAACATAAATCTTCTTCGAATTCCTGGGCCCTTGGCGACTTGCCAGACGATCTGTAGCTTAATAAATACATAAATCTAGAAGCCAAATAAAAGTAAAATTGATAAAAAAATGAAAATAAAGAAGTCTCAAACATACAAGGACACTAGTAATTATGTGTAAGGCCACACCAAGTAAATTTTATGGATGACGTCCTTTGGAGACCCTAAATCTAATGCGAGAGGGCGAAAAAAAACAAGAAGGGCCCTAAAAAACAAGATGCCTAGATTAGAAATAAACTAAGAGACAATAAATGTTAGGACACAAACTGAATGAGGTGACACAGTGTAACAAGCAAGAAGTCTTTTCATCATCTTTAAAACCGGAAAGTTGGCTCTCCCTGGCCCACATCGGGCGCGTACCAGTCAACAACAACGTTTCCGCACGCCTTTACTACCTCAACGCTCGCATACTTGGCGACTAAGGGTGGAGAGCCCACATGCTCTGTAGAGCAGGACAACATCTTGTTACGGGTTTCATCATCGTTACGGGATTTTTTTTTTATTTTTTATTCCAACATGTAATCACCAGACGTGGTGACGACACACTCAAGTTTTTTCAACTTATATTAATGCCGCCACCAACACAGGGGACAAATACATGACAGGACAATACTCATTTACACCTGAGCGAAGTGAGGAAAGTCGTGTAAAGTGCCTTTCCCAAGGGCACAAGATCGGTGGCATGTCAGGACTCGAACCCGGGACTCTAAGTTCCGAGTCGCGCACTCTGCCGCTACGCCAGACGACCCCACAAGTTACGGGATTTGCGGTACTGTCGTGACTCTCTGGTTACAGGAAGCGGAATTTCTTGTTTTTTTTCTAGGAACAGGCCAAAATCAATGCGCGCGCGGACGTCATCCATAAAATTTACTTGGTGTGGCCTAAAGTATTGTTACAGTATTTCTGCCCCAAGAAAGTACAGAGGTCGTAATAAAGAGTATAGGCTTTCCTATAATCAATCAGTTACATAGGCACTTTATATCGTGAGAAAATGTTCAATTTATGGTGGCATTATTGTTTCAAGCAACGAAGGTCACACATGGTGTTGAGATTGTAAACAGTAAATTGCATAAGGGGCCTTTTGTCAGCCGATTTTATATCGCCTGACCGGTCAATTGAGGGCAATGAAAGGTCACCGTATGATGCAATCTGCGGTCCGCGGTTATAGCCTCTACCAGGCTTGAGGGCGCGGCTGGAAATAGTAGAAATTGGCAAAATAGAGAGATAAACACGCCGAGGGAGTTAGTCATCCAGTTTACAGTTTGTCGGCAAACAATACTGTACCATTAGGCTCCTTCCTGAGGCGTCGCTAGAAAAACTAATAGAAAGAAAGGCAGAAATGCATAGATGTTACATAGATGTAACGCAGAAGTGAAAAGAGACGCCCTACGGCTGTGGGAGGTTCTGCAATAGAGTAACCTTTAGGGTAAGTTCTGGACTAGGTACGAGGTCTTGGTTGGGAATGGATGTGGAAAGGTTTGGAATGGATGTGGAAAGGTTTGGAATGGATGTGGAAAGGTTGGGAATGGATGTGAAAGTGTTTGGAATGGATGTGGAAGGGTTGGGAATGGGCGTGGAAGGGTTGGGAATGGGCGTGGAAGGGTTGGGAATGGGCGTGGAAGGGTTGGGAATGGATGTGGAAGGGTTGGGAATGGGTGTGAAAGTGCTTGGAATGGATGTGGAAAGGTTTGGAATGGATGTGGAAGGGTTGAGAATGGGCGTGGAAGGGTTGGGAATGAGCGTGGAAGGGTTGAGAATGAGCGTGGAAGCGTTGGGAATGGGTGCGAAAGGGTTGGGAATGGATGTGGAATGGCTGGGAATGGGTGTGGAAGGGTTCAGAATGGATGTGGAGATGTTGGGAAATGAGTGTGGAAAGGTTGGGAATGGGAGTTGAAACGTTACTAGAAATCAAAGCCAAAGTTTTTGCGCAAAAAGTACACGATGCATGAGTGTGTCACTAGTATGGCTAGTATGGCTATCAATGATTGTATTTAGAATTCAGCTTTCATTATGCAAATCAGGGTGATTTACCATTATCAGTTAATCTTTCGTTATTCTTTATTTCAGGCGCAGTTGGCCCATAGAGGACAAACAATTAAAAGTACATAGTACACATAATAAAAACGGTAGGGTTCGGTACGTATGTATTAACTAAGCAAGAGGGACCTTACCGGTAGACTAGGCCGATATAGTGATCCCAGTAGTGACTGGTGGATGATATGTCAGAGTGGATTGCGAGTTTTATGATTCTGTTATTACTGTTGAGAAGCTGAGTGGTGAAAGAGTGTGTTAGTTTACATCTGAGAGCATCGAAGGTATCGACAACCTCAGTCACAAACATTCGACTGGCGCTCTCAAATTTTCCATATGAAAACAATTATGTTAATGAACTGATATATTATGTAATGAGTATAAAGCTCCTGTCACTGTTGAAATATATATTTCCTCAAATTTGCTAATCAAGCTCTAATTTGCATTGTAATCTAACAGATCTCATCCAAACTAACTGCATAAAAAAAAAATCATGAAGTTAAACATTCATCCTTTCCTGACTTATCCCGTTCCAAAGTCTTCAACTAAAACGAACATGAACAAGAACAATTATCGTAAAAAAACATGACCAACAGAGATCCATTTCCAAGCTTTTATTGTATCCACCGGTGGGTACTTCACACACATATTGCCAAGCGCTGTACACACATCAGAACCAAATACATCAACAGTTTCACGTCCCAAAAAAACAACTTCTGACTTTACTTCCTAAAAGACACTACGGTTGACAAAAACAAGGCATCACACATGAAAGTAAAACCTACCATCCGCTTGCCATTTTGTTTGATACAAATGATTCCTTGCAACATTTACGTTTTGCAATTGTCTACTCAACAATGTTCTTACATAAAACACTCAAATGCCATACACATACTGTATGGGTGTACTAAAAGTGAATTGTTACATTATAAAGCCTCCATGGCCGAAAATTACAATGTATAGGTGGGAAGATACATTAGTAAGTTATACACATACATTTGTACATGTACACCCTACCTCTGCTTGAAGCATTGACAGTGACATTGTGTAAATACAACATGTACAATTTCTAAAAAGTCACATACAGTAGCAGTAGGTTCATTATTTACTTTGGAATTAGTAACATTCCAACACTACCATATACTGGCATTGTTACATACATGTACCCCTACAACATGTATGTACCAATGTTACATTTTTACATTGTGACGAGATACAGTAAGACAAGAAATACAGGTTGAATTTGTTGCCAGTTTAAGAAAATTTTGCAGTCACAGACTGAAGTACATAAACAAATAGAAAGCATTGGAAATAAAGTATTGGAAAGAAAAGCTTGCCAGCACGACATTCTGTTTTAAAACACAGTCAGATTTGAATATCTATCATGATGGTAAAATTCACACAAGCAAAATAAACTTCCACATAAAATATTCTACTGGAGACAAAAGCTTACTATGAAAGCTACCAATACATGTGCTTCAAAAAACAATACACCCTAGGTAAACTAAAAAACAACATATACATGCTGTATCAATTATAATTGCACACGCACAGACAATTTCTATCTAAACAGTTACATTTCAGGTAGGAAAATTTAAATTATCGAGTTTCAGTTCAAGATATACATACAATTATAATATTTCACTCATTTCTGTAGTCTTTGATCACCAGAAAATTTACAGTCTTTTAAAATCGAGGACTTCTTTCAAAATATTCCTTTAGTGTTCATTATATGTACAGTACTGGAGGCCAGTATAAGCTATGATAACACTAAGAGCTTCAAATACATTTAACTGGACCCCATTAGCCAATCGCTATTCAATGTTCTAGCAGCAATCTTACAATTGGACCAATCAGAGAAGTGCAGAGGTACTCTATTTTTTTGGCAACACCTGGAGGGCGGAGCCTTGCTGTGTTACGTAATGCCTGCAACTTCGTGTGTCAGTATTGTGGTCGTTTATTCACACCAAGAAATGACTTGTTTGTGATCTTGCAAATGGAGAAGGTTTCCTTTTTCATCATCCTGAGTTTTTTCTTTTTAGAATGACTTTCCTATCAAGTTTTTCAGATGACAATATTCTGTGAGAAGTTTTTTTTACTTCAACTGTCATCAGTAAAACTGGAATTTTACAATGCAATTTGTCATTAGTCAAAAAGATCCCAGGTACAAAGAAACAAGCTATTTTTAAAACTCTCTTGGGTTCACCCTAAAAAATCCAACTCTTTATGCTGTACACATGTACCTATTTTCAAAGTAGCTTCTGAGGTTTTTTTTCTACAATTTTTCTTCACAAATAGGATGAGGACACCCTTGTGCAAAGACAAGATTTTACTCCTAACATTTTTGTGTTTTGTCCTGACATTCATGAGTACTTGAGGGAATATAGTACCATGTTCTACTATCATGATGTGGTTTCAACTATTACAACACTGAAAGTGGTCTACTTCTACAGAGGTATACAACCTCACTCTATGTGCATTAAAAACTGGTGGCTCAAATTGTTGAAAGAATGTTGATGGGTTCTTGGAGAAAATGCAGAGAAGTTAGACAAAGATTCGCTGAGATTCAACCCCTGTGATAGCTCAAGCTTCATTCAGTGTAAAATAGAGAAGGCACTTTGCTAGGCTTTTCTGAGGCACTCTACATGAGAAATTTCTTCCTTTTTCTTTAAAAAAAGCAGTTGTATCTATCAGCCAAGAAAGCCTTGGTTCAGCAAAGTTTTTATAAAAGGCTACACAGCAATCTTTCAATATAGACAATCCTATTCTACATGTAGGCCTCTAAGGTTTATGGAAAAAACGGTGCCTGTAGTCTACTCGGTACGTCCAGAATATGTCCACCTTTCACAGATTTTCTAGTTCTGTACCTACACTGTGGAGTTGATTATGTTCTGGCCTGGTGTATGGGTTTTGTTGTGATTTGAGAGGACTCTTGTCAGACCTGTAGACCATCCCAGCTGTCCAGTTCAACTTAGGGCCAAGTTTACAAGGGGCAAAAAATCATTTGTCCCAGAACATAGATTTGCACGCCATTGATTTATGTGTGGCGTATCCTGGATGCGCCACACAAAAATTGCTGCGGGGTGCCATGTGGCGTGGCGGGTCTGTTTGCCCACTCAAAAAATCAATCCTACATTATGCACGCATTGTGGGACAATCAATTTTTTATTAGTGTAAATAGGGCCTCCGGCTTTCTAGTAGGTTTGCACTAACTGGGCTAACTCTTGTCATGCAAACCTACCGGTCTGTCTAAGATGAACTGTGTGTCTGGCATTGTCTACAGGCCTGGAGAGAGTCTGCCCAAACCACAAGAAGGACTGAACATCAAGCTAATTATAATCATCCATCAATTTTTCTCACCAGAGCCCAGTGCAATAGTACCATGATTTCTGATCAGCAGCCAGGTGTGAAGGTAAGACATCCTGAGGCTTATTGCTGCTGCTGCTGCTGCTGTGCCTGGATGTTAGCGGAGTGCATGGTCCGCGCCACCTCGTGCACGTACATGATGTCAGGCCGCTTGTCAGGGTCAGGGTTGATGCAGATGTTCACCAGGTGCCGCAGCTGGAAGGCAGAGCACCTGTTAGTACCTGTAGAGCTACATTAATTAGCATATGTACATCTACATAAATTAGATACAATGTACATTAGTATCTGAATGGCTACACTAGTTAGCACCTGTACAGCTACACTAGTTAGCACCTGTACAGCAATAGTTGTTAGCACCTGTATATAGCTACATTACATGTAGTTAGCACCAGGTGCTGTACAGTTCCACTTCATGTAGTTAGCATGTAAATAGCTACACTACAGTTAGCATCTGTAAAGCTACTACTACACTAGTTAGCACCTGTACAGCTATAACTGTTAGCACCTGCACAGCTACATTAGTGAGCACCTGTATAGCTACAATGTATACTTAGCACCTGTACAGCTACATTAATTAGCACCTGATGTTCACAGCTACACTTGTTAGCACACGCACAGCTAAAACTATTTTTTACCTGAGTGAAGTTAGGACAGTCAATGTAAAAGTGTCTTTTCCAAGGGCACAAAATCAGTGTCATGGCGGGACTCGAACCTGGGACCTCATGATTCTAGCCATGACACTTTGCTGTTAAGCCACAAGACCCTAAACCACCCAACTCTTTTACGAGAAAGATACGAGGAAGAATGTAACCCTACCTCGTCCGAGTAGTGTTCAGAAGGGAGAGGAGGGTAGTCACACTGCTCAATCTTCTTACACAGGGAGTACAGGTTCATCTTGTCTCCGTAGAAAGGGCTCTGCAGAGCTGCCATCTGAAACAACATCCAACATGTTTGAACCTTCTAACTGCTAAGATTTGCCATTTAGTACCGATTTGTATGGGATACTAATGCAAATCTTTCATGTTGCATGTTCTTTCCCAGATGGGATAAATTCACAAATGTAACCAAATGTGGTCGAGAGGATAAAAAGCATGAGTATTGCATATTGGGACGCTATATTCTAATGCTAGGTGCAACTATACCATATACTACCTATCATTTACTGTTAGTTGCCCTTACTTCTCTACCCAATAATAATGGTGGTCCTTCAGTGGTTCATGACTATCAGGTTATCATATACAGGTAGATGTAGAGGAATTTTTTTAATGTACCAACTCAGTTTGTTGTTGGTTTGTTGTTGCTCAGATTTTAGAAAAAATATGCATGAAGCACCAAAGCATAAACAAACAAAAAAAGCAGACTTAGGCATCCTATGATAGCCCCAAAGATATACATGTATGATACATGTACATGTAGGACCCATCAAGTCAATGTACATGTACCAGGCTGATTTATAATTCAGCCGATAATGATTACTTTTTATCAAACCAATGCATTGATAGATGAAATAATTGTAACAACTAGTAGGAAGTTAGACATTGAGCTTTCTTCAACTGTTTGGGCCAAACTATAAGCATTTTGGATTTGATTCAGAAAAATGAAGCGGGTGAATCTCAGACCCAATTAATTAACTTGGTGTGGCCTCAGATTTCCACAATGTGCTCACCTCGTACAGTAAACAGCCAAGAGACCAGATATCAGACTTGAAGTTGTATCCGTTCTCGTGTATCCTCTCAGGTGACATGTAATAGGGAGTACCAACTGTGGGAAGGAAGGACACATGGTGGTGAACAAGGGGGTTCGCAAATAAGTATGCCCAGTGCATATATGGTTCTTTCCAGGATTCTTTCACAGCATATGGGTCAGGTACAGAAGTACTCAGTCTGGTATTCTTCCCAAAAAATTTTAAAACTCATAACCCTCTGAGACACTATTTCTCGCCTAATTATGGACAGATATTTTGAAGTTAAGGTTTTCCCTTTGCTATAGCTTCATTCTAAATCATTCAAGTTATTTTTCTCTTGTGGTTAAAAACAGCATAGGGGGTCCAAATCACAGCATAGGGGGCCCCTATGCCCAAAAGGCCTGGCAAGAACACTGCAGTGTCAAAGGTAAGGGGGCACACCCCAGTTTATTTGCCGTTTCTATTCGAAGCTGCACACCCTCAAATGTAGCGACCGTCTCTGCCTTGGAAAAATTCGGAAGGAGAATAACTGTATATGGGATAAAAGGATATCTCTTCAGCTACAAGACCAGCTGAGTTTGGTTTCTTCAACCTTTTTAAGTTTGGTAAAATCAACGGAAAAAACATTATTTTCACTCCAAAATTAATGCACAAAATTGCGAATTTTCGCGCAGCATAATCCCATAGAAAAAAATTTTCCAGCAGAAATGACTGATGCTGGCAGAAAGACCCAAACCTTGACTATACCTGAGTAAATTATAATGAAAATTCTAGTACTGCAATTTTCTAAACAGTCCACGGCGCGAGGGTTTGCAAATCCGCTCCTACGAAGGCGCACAGCGAAATCTAGGTCAAATGGGCGGATTACACTGCGCAAGGATACCCAGAAGTAAGGTTCGGAGCCAAAAGAAATTTTTACCCCAAAATCACCATTTCTTACACTCTTCAGCCATGTTAATGTTTAATGATATTTCATGGCAGTTTATGAGAAATGTCACCTCAAACTTGGACCCTCAAAACCATTTCTTCACTTTTTTAACACGGACTATCGCGGACCCCTGTCACGGAAGAACTGAGGTGTGCACCGGAAAAGCCCCCGATATGCAAAAAAAACATGTTTAACAGTTGCACCTAGGGCTCATTCTCATTCTCGTACAAAATGCTGTCACCACTCTTTACGTCATCATTGCTTTCTTCCCTTTCCCACCACACTTTCTATGTTACACAAAAAATGTACCACAACACTAGGTCTGGTTGATGACTTGGAAGAAATTATAAGCAGTGCTATATATATTATATATAAATTAAATACACATTAGAGAGTGTAGTTTTGGTCCAAAACATTGTTCATTAAATTATACATTTTACTACTGTAACAGTTGTATTTTAGTGTTATTGGTGTTACATGTACAATGTACATGACTGTATAAGCTTAGTGTTGTAATGCTAATTGGCTAACAATTACATGAATGTGAAGAAAAAAAATACATACAGTACCAGCTTTAAGTATCATATCACATAGCTGAGTTTCAATGTACCCTGACATGTACTTACCTAGTGAGTGAGCAGCAGTAGTTTTAGAGCTGATACACAGCTGAGCTGTCCTGTGTACTTACCTAGTGAGTGAGCAGCAGTAGTTTTACAGCTGAGCTGTCCTGTGTACTTACCTAGTGAGTGAGCAGCAGTAGTTTTAGAGCTGATACAGAGCTGAGCTGTCCTGTGTACTTACCTAGTGAGTGAGCAGCAGTAGTTTTAGAGCTGATACACAGCTGAGCTGTCCTGTGTACTTACCTAGTGAGTGAGCAGCAGTAGTTTTTAGAGCTGATACACAGCTGAGCTGTCCTGTGTACTTACCTAGTGAGTGAGCAGCAGTAGTTTTAGAGCTGATACAGAGCTGAGCTGTCCTGTGTACTTACCTAGTGAGTGAGCAGCAGTAGTTTTACAGCTGAGCTGTCCTGTGTACTTACCTAGTGAGTGAGCAGCAGTAGTTTTAGAGCTGAAGAACCTGCCCAGCCCCAAGTCTCCCAGTTTCACCACTCCTGTTGCTGTGATGAACACGTTTGCTGGCTTGATGTCTGAAAACAAAACATTAACTTTCATTTCTGCTTACATGTAAAGTTCTTCTACATTGTAGTTATAGTGTCACATGGCCATCATCATAGATATCTTAAAACTTTCAGTCAGTCATTGGGAAGTTGGCCACAGTGTCGGCTGTAGCTGTATTAAGTCTGATTCGTTGACAGTTTCTAATAATATTAACTACATTGTAGCTATAGTGTAGTCCTCATTGTTTGTCTCATACGCATACTCGCTTTCATAATGTTGTCCACTTGCAATTATATTATAAGCCTATGGTTACAAATTTGTAATAAACTATCATATCTTCCTATCATGAAATAAAGCTGAGAAAGATCACAGAAGGCCATGAGGTAGTGGGGTTCATTGTCTTTGTGCATTTACTTTGAGATTGTTTTTCCCTTCAACTCTCCATACAATACTGTTACAGTTACTGTATTCTTGCAGAATACAATATTATAGAATACAACACAGTGTATTCTGTATTGCCCAAGGTACCAGCCCGACCGCGGGCCGGATCGATTGAAGGCCAGAGGGAGATCCAACCCGCATGTTGTATTTTATTTGTTTAACCCAAAAATACATGCTTACACACTGTTAAAATGTGCCAAAATTTGGTGTCGGCATCAAACAAAATATCAATTCCAACATCTGAATCTGATATATCATATGATTCAAATTTTCTAAAGCAGCGCACACGGCTCAGGCGAAACGTGTTTGAATGAATCTATGGAACATGTGCCATACCACTAGTTATCACACAGGCCAAACACCCATATTGAACCTTATCTATGGGTATGACATAAATGACAGTTGAACCCCGGTGAGTTTGTCCTGACCTCTGTGCATGACCCTGCGGGAGTGCATGTGTTCCAGCGCGCTGCACAGCTGTACAAAGTACTTCCAGATCGTCCTCTCTGGGATCAGCCGCTTCTGTTTCTTAAAGTGCTGCAAGGAGAGAGTGAGGTATTGTAGTAAAGGCCACGCAAATTTGATTTGTTGGTTCTCAAATTTTTACAGAAAAATACAAATGTATGAAGTGACAGGGGAAAAAAAATAAAACTCTGATAGCCCAAAATTAAAGTAGCCATGATGTCAACATACCAGGCTGGTGTAGAATTCAAACATTCAATGAACCTCAAACTTTTTATCAAACCAATGAGAAGTTAAGAGGTTAAAGAGATTAAAAAATATAAAATTGTATTTGTAGCTAAAACATCCTTCATTTTCATATAGTGTTGTCGCTAAAGAAATATTTTGTTTAAAAGACGGTCGCTATAGAGTTGAGAGTGTGCAGAATCAAATTGTGACCCAAAATAAACTGGGTTGTGCCCCCTTTATGTATCCAAATGTGTCAACTTCTACCTTGATCATGCGTGAGAGGTCCCCAGCATCAGCCAGCTCCAGCACTATGTTCAGCTCATTGTCCTCGATGAAGGAGGCGTAGTACTGGATCACGTTAGGGTGGTTCAGTTGCTGTACAAACAATACAGGAAGGACATTCTGATTTAGGAAGAATTATAGGTACCCCAGAAATGCTGCTAAACCACAGGAATACAAACTTTGGTATTATAGTAAATTTGCTGTTGTACATAGCGACTTTTATTTACTAGTATTTATTTATTTATGAAGATTTACCACATTTGTGGAAGGATTGACATAGCAGGTGACAATCAACTCTTCAAAATGTCAAGCATGAGACCAGACTAAGGTTTGAACTACTCACACCGGGATGGACCCTTCTCTTTTCGATTAGTGTGGTGGGATCTTTAACGTGCTTTAAGGTACAGGACCTCTAGCTTTACATTCTACATGTATCCGGGAGGATGTCCCTAACCAAAGCTACATGTAGCTATAGGTAGTCGTGCTCATTTAAGGGTGGGTGACTTACTAGTACCCTGCTTTTACACATCTTTCAATCAAGATTAAAAAACAACTTAAATGACTTTGCAGGAAAAATAAATGAGTTAAAACTGTATGGGAAGGGAAGGTAATCGAGATCTGTACTTGGTCTAGTGATCATGACAACGGCAAACTTAATAAACTGTGAATCAGTATTTTCAGAATGTCAGATCTGCTCTCAAGCACATTGAATTGTTACAACAAAAGCAGTTGAGTGTTCTAGGCAGCCTGAATTTCAATTCTGAGATGTTCAGCCCCATGCAACAATTCTAGGGGTATCCAGGGTATGCTCCCCCATGAAAGTTTTGACATGTTGATCCTCTGAAATGCTATTTCCTGCATTTTGAATTTTTGGGTGGCAAATTCTGCTGGTAGACTAGGCTTAGTTTAAATAAAAATCAGGGTGTAAAGATATGGAAAGAGAATTGTCAATAAACATAAATGATGACAATTCTTTTTCCATATCTTTACACCCTGATTTCTATCCGTCAAAGATGATGGATTGGGTTAAAAATTTGTCATGCGCAGGGGCAAAATTCAGTGTGTAAAAATAATAAAATGACAGAAAGATTTAATGCTGGATAGAACACATTGAAGCACATTCTATACATGAATTGTTCACACAAGGTTATATAACAATGGCACAAGGTCATCACAGGTTATCAACAGTACATGTAGCTGTGTAACCTCTGGATGGTGGGGTCAATGACCCAAAGGTCACTCTATCTAGATAGAACAGAAAAAAACGACATTGATGAAGGCCATACCTTAAGCAGGTCTATCTCCTTGATACAGTCTTGTCTTGCTTTTGCATCCATCATCTCAAATATCTGTCAAAACAAAAAATAATATCACGTTAATTATTACTATAAACCTTTCAATGTACAAAAATAAGAAACTAATTTGTTATCAATAACAGTGGTTAATGGAACTACACTTTCTTACTGATAAGAAGAAATCACAGTAAAGAAACAATATCAATCATTTGCGTGATGCTTTTTTTGAATTTTAATCTGAAACCTGTCTCATCAGACTGCAAATTTTCTGCATAATATACATGTAAATATAGATATTAAAAAACAAAGAACACGATTCAACATTTTTAGACCAAAATTATTAGACGTAAATAAATGCTAAATTTTTAATGATTCTACCATACGCATTATTCTCACAAAATTACTGTTAACTTGAGTGTTACCTAGTCTTGCATTTAAATGTTTTCAGAGAGTATTTCAAATTTTATTATTTATTTGGAGAATACAAATTTAGTTTCTCAGTCACATATTGCATGGTGATTGAACAATTTCAAGCTATACTATAAATGGTATGCATACATGTATCTGCAGGTTTGGACAAGTTTTCAAAAGGTCATTTCCACTTTCCCAAACCAGCTTTTCACTTGCCCCAAATTTACATATTTTTACTACCACCAAGGAAATTATCCTTTTTTGGGGTTTATAATGTTGGAGACTTTATTTATCAAAACAAGGTGGTATGACTTGCTCCAAACACCGTAGCAGCTATACTTTGCATCCAAAAAATTTACTTGCCCAATCGGCAAGTCTTGGGGCACATTTACTTGCCCGAACAGTACTTTTACTTGTACTTGCCCTGGGCAAGTGGGCAATGGGACTTGTCCAACCCTGGATCTGATATTATTTATTTATCTATTTTATTTATGACGATTTACCACATTTGTGGAAGGATTGACATAACAGGTGACTATCACCTTTTCAAAGATGTCAAACCTGAGACCAGACTGTAAGATTTGAACCACTCACACCAGGAAGGTCCCCTACTCTTTTCGATAAGTGTGGTGGGTTCTTTAATGTGCGTGGGGTGTGGCTCTCCCAAACACGGGACCTCCATTTAACGTCCTATCCGAAGGACGTCCCTAGCTGAAGCTAGGTACTCATTTTCACCTGAGTGAAGTGAGGAAAGTCGTGTAAAGTACCTTTCCCAAGGGTACAACGTCGCGGCGCATGTTCGGACTTGTTCTGGTACAACCCGGAATCGAACCCGGGTCTCCGGGTCTTTATACGTCTTTTACCAACTTTTATGTGTCATGAGGTTTTAAGTCTTACCTGTACTTTCTTAAGAGCCACGTCCTTGCCGTTGACGAGGTTCTGTGCGCGGTACACCACGCTGAACTGTCCCCGCCCGATCTTCTTCTCGATGGTGAAGTTACGCAGCGTGTTGTACGGGTCGCTGTCTGATGTCTGTGTGACTTCAGGAGACATGGGCATGTCTACATCCATGGCTGCCATGGTGGGTCTGAGTCAGGGGTCTGCAGGGGACAGAATAAGGTAGGTTTTTAATTTACTAAACATTATCATCATCCAACATTGGGTATACTGTTACGGAAATTAATACAAACCTACAATGGATGTCACTGGAAGATGGGGAGAAAAATGTCCAGATTATATACCTTAGGCCACACCAATTTAATTTCTTGGTTAACGGATTTTTCTACAAAAATAATGGAACGGGCGGGCAAAAAAAAAATAAAAATAAAAACAGTCCTAGGCATCCTATTATGGCCCAAAATGGTACGATAGGAGCCATGAACTCAACACGCCAGGCTGGTTCAAAATTTAAACAATGAATTTTGAACTTTTAATGATACCATTGCATTAAAAGATGGAATATCTGTAACAACTAGCATGAAAAAGACTGTTTTCAACTGTTCAGGGCAAAATATGAGCATTTTGCAGTTGATTCTGAATTTTTATTTTTATTTGCAAATCAGAAAAAAATGAAGCGGGCGAATCCGTTAACCAAGAAATTAAATTGGTGTGGCCTTATGGTATGTGCATATTTTGCAAAAGCATATTAATATTATTTGTAATGTGGAAGTACACTTTGGGCTTAAATTTTTTGTTTCGGCCGCATGCACTAGTTTCAGGGTCCTCAGAGGATGTCATTCATGAAATTAAATCAGCATGCCCTAACATACATGTGTAGCCTATGTAACCCAAGCTCCGGGGGGCTCCCTACATAGTCCGCCACCCAAGGGGGCCGGCTGGATGTTGGGCGGCCGGCAAAAGCGATTTAATCAGGCTAGCCCTAACAAGAGTAGACAACATTGTTTTTTCTGTAAAATGTCTCCCCCCCCCCCTCTCTTACAGAATGTTACAATTGTTACCTGGAGGTCAAGCACCCCACGTTAATCCCCTACAAAATGTACCGCCATGCAGCTGGCTGGGTGAGAGCTAACCTCTACATACTTCTGTAACAAAGGACTGTTATTCTGTCCTGTCATCCTGGGGTACAAAACTGAAAGGAAGCTCACGGCATTTAGCTACACTAAGGGTTTACACTTTTAATGGTGACTTTCAACATTGTCAATAGAGCTGTGTAGTATGTACCATACACAGTACTGGTACTGTACCAAAAAATTGATCCAAAATACCTTTATTGTACATTCATGCCACGACGGGATAGGTCAAGATATAACAGACACATAACAAACGTATATAGAAAATTGGAGACAAAAGATGCACTACTTGACTTAGACATACATAAGGAACATACAAGGGTACTATACTAGGCCAATACAAATTTCTAGTCACTGGGCTAATATAGAGAGGTCAACTTCTTCTCGCTTTTTTGTACAGTGGAAAATGTGGGAGCAGATCATGTTTGTGATACAAGGTTTGTCTAGACGCATCAAAAATATAAATTTATCATTTGCGCTTAGGTGTTCAAAGTATGGGAACTTCTCTTTGATATAATTAAAAAGGACAGATCTTTCATTAGAATATAAAATAAAGTACAGTCTAAAATAAAGTGTTGTTCATCTTCTATTCTATTAATATACAATAATGAATCACTTAAAGTACCAGTACTGTACGTCAATGAAGGTTAGACATCCAGTTACATGTAATATGATACGCTAAAAAGCAGTTACTCAAGCAACTGATTTCGGAAACGGTCAGACATTTCAGCCAGTATCCACTCTAGTTTTCATCAGCGACTGAGAGACCAGACCAGTACCAGTACTGTACCTGTATCAAGTTACATAGTACACTGATCATACGCTTTATGAGTGGCCTGAAATTACTAAATACATGTAGTCCCCCATAGGTCCCAGAGACAGTGTGTTTGTGTTACAGACTGACAGTGTTAACTACCCTGAAAGATCTGTTACATATTAGTTATGCTCCATTTAGATGACACTTTGGTGAATTTTTGTAGCATGACGCCACTAATGTAGGGGATGAAACTAAAACATCTTAGTAGTTTTGCCTATGCTTTGTCTGAGAATTCTCCATAAACAAAAACTCAAAAATATCCTAAAATTTCAGGTAACAGATATTGATTTGTTGGTCGCACTTGTGACCATGTTCGTATGTTACCTTTCTCATTGAGTGGGTCTGGCTTGGTGTCGGCCAGCTCGTGTTGCTAACGGTTACAACAGGATTAAGCTGACCTAGGACACAGTTTGTGTTATAATATAAAATATATTTTAAATTAAGTAAAATCCAGACCCGCTCTGAACACTATTTTCTGTCTGCATGCATCTTACATCGCTACTTTTGCTGGTAGACTATTAGCTTAAAGTTCGATGACATCCCTTTGTACATACATGTAGTATGTATATCTTTATACACCGATTTTTGTCGAGTTTTTGGCATATGCCGGCTTGCCGTAAGCCGCTATGTACTGTAAATTCACAATACCATATGCATCTTACAGTGTTCGAAATACAAACATGTACCTGTCTGCAGTCTGCAATCTGCAGATAGATTTCAAAGATTGCAGAAGAAAAATTTATACAATCTGCAATTTTGCTGCAGGAAAAATTGGCACTTAGGATTTGGCGCTCTTGGCCCAATAGACAGACAACACTTAAGCTCCTGTTCTGAAACAACAGGAGCTTCTTCACTAATTTACATCAACCTTGTCTTGACTTGTTTATCTTTTGTTTCCTTCTGGACTTCCAAAAATTTGTCTTCACTAATTTGCATATCAATCAATAGTTCATGCTTATAAACCTGCAAGATTGTAGTATGGAGGCTTGTGTATTTGCAGAAAGTATTTCAAAATTGCAGAACACAATTTTGACTCTTCTGCAATATTGCAGAACACTGAAAAAAAGTATTTCGATCACTGATCTTAGTATTCCTGTGGTATAGCCGCATTTTGGGGGGCTGGAATTTTTTTATTCGCCAGCGAGCACTAGTTTGAGGGTCTTCAGAGGATTGTCATTCATAAAATAAAGTCAGTGTGGCCTTATTAGTGGACTTTTTCCTGAGCTCAATGAACAGGAAATCCTGTACCTTCCACATCCTATGCATCGCCCTAGAGAGCTGACCTGTCTTTTTTTTAGCTCAAATTTTCTTCCTGAGCATTTCTGTACCCTAAAATATCTTAATGTCATTTCCTGAACAGAGTGCCAATTTACAAAAGGTGAACAGGCCTTTGAAAATTCATGCAACAAAAAATTGTATCAAGATCGTAGAAGAAATTGTTGGGAGATGTGCATGTATACACTTTGGTCGAACACCCGTTTAAGGCTGTACTCACGTATTTAACGATCATCCCGTTTATACTAAATTATAGTTTTCAGATGTTCTGTTGGAAAAGATATCGTCTGTCAAGGATAGAATTCCAATTTTGACCAAAGATCCTAGGAAAACCGTAAGAAATTTCTTTAAAAATCACATACAACTTTTACTTGCAGAACAGGTTGTTGAAGGGAAGACTTGATGAGCACACCTGCTGTGCACAGCATGTAGTGGCGCCGGTCATCAGATAAAACTATATATTTAGGATGCTGAAACCATTTATAATATAGACTTGAAATACTGGTACTGGTTGTATGTGCAGGTAAAATTGGGGCTGTGCAGATGCTGTGTCTACCCGCACTGGTCCATGCACTGGGTTTATACTGTAAATCACTTTATATTTGTGGCAGCAAAATAATTAATTTCGCAGTCTGAGAAAAATGGATATGTTTGCAGAACTATATTTTTGCAGCGGCAGCGCTATAGCTAGCAGGTGCAGAAAAAAGAAAGTCGGTGAATTATTTTGGTACCGCGGTCACTTCTGTACTGCAAATTTATCATTTACATATAGATGATAGAGAAAATAATCAACAATAAATTCACATTCGTATTTCAAAACTGTGAATATAAAAGTATTGTGAATATAATGTGATTTAGGCCCGATTTACACATGCGGCGTTTGTATCTGTTGGGCGTAAAACGACGCGAGCGCGTGCGCGGCGCCACACTGCGCGGCGCCGCACGTCATTTTTCTGTGAGGAGGTGCCACAGACAAACCGCCGCGTGGCGACGCGCGTCTGTGGCGGAGGTTGTTTACAATTACATGCTAAAAAAATCTGTCGCACAGAACGCGCAGTGCGGCGCCGCGGGCGCGCGCTCGCTCGCGTCATTTTACGCCCAACAGATCTAAATGACGCACGTGTAAATCGGGCCTTACAGTAGTATTCACATTCAAAATGTAGGTGTATCATATGTTGATCTTTATTTGCTGCAATGACTTAGGTAAGTATGTTACCACCTAGTATGAAATGAAAAGAAATGATGGTTTATGAAGTTTTTAGTATAATAATTCATTCTTTTAAGTTTTAAAAGTTTGAGTAGTGCAGGAAAAATTTGTCTTAGTGTAGGTAATTTTTAAAATTTAATGTTACCTGTACCAGTGCAAGCATGCTAGAATAAAAAGGATTTCAAGCCCATCAGTGATAAGACATCAAGAGAAAGACCTAAATACATGTAGTATCAATATAGGGCTCGAAATACTCCCCAGGTGGTGCACCCAAATTTGGAGCTGTACATGTGCACCCAATTTTTTCTGTGGGTGCACCAGTGCACCCAAATGTTTTTTTTTAGGTTTACGTATATGTAAAGAATTTAGAATACTAGTGGTACTAGTTAGTATTCAGCATATTATTATATTAACATCTAAGTGTCAGAAAAATAGTAAAATCATTCTTGTAGTACTTTTCTTTAGAAACAAAACATAATTTTTCGCTGACATTCTACTTCTTTTTATCTTACTGTTACATGGTGCACCTACAGAAAATTTTGGGCACCCAATTTTTAAGGTTGGGTGCACATATTCCCAAAAATGAACTTCGAGCCCTGCAATATTTGGCAAGACCATGAGAAAATTTCAGCTGGAGTCTGCTGGACCCAAAAACTAGAGCTTTGTGCTGGTCGTCTATCTGATAATTTGTTCCTTTGACAAGACAAAAATAAATGAGAATCGATGCATAAGATTAAGAAACACAGCTGTAAAAACTTACAATGGTCCCAATTTACCTTTGGAGCCGTTGCTTCGCTGTTGCCATGGCGATAACTAAGATGGCTGACAGCTCCATTATCTTGCCACAGTGTAATCAATGTGTAATGCTTGCACAAAGTTGCAAAATTGTTTGATGTGTAAATATTATAAAAAGCACCGTAGTCTGAATTATTATACAGTGCTTCTATTAAAATTCCTTATTAGTAATGCATGTACTGTAGCTGCTCATATACTGTAATTCCTGATTTTTTCACTGTCATTTAAAAAAAAATGTGTTCACTGTTTTCAGTCACTTCTAGATCTGTACCGTGAACTTATCATTATAGTTATACTGCAGTTAACAAATAATTTGTCTTTCACCCCCTCCCACTGAACTTATAGTTCCATGAATACATCCATTTTTCTTAGAGAAATTTTGCTACCGTAAATACGGAAGTTGCAGTAGTATCAGAGTGACATAGAAAGACAATTGTTTCATTAATAATTCAAGACTGCATTGGATATGTTGTCTAGTACAGTAACTTATCGAGAAATGCTTTGTAGCGTGGATGTCCTTGATAGTCCTTGTACTGAGCTGGTCACAGGACAAACCTTTGATGAAAGTACCCTCTATATTTATGGCCCTAATTTATTTAAATACAAGGACATCTAAATTGATCTAAGATTCTAACACAGTTCTTGGATTTTCTTGTATACACAACTACAGTAGGGATTCTTCCTATATCTTGCTTTTAACATTTAGAAGGGGATATAAACTTATAGACACATCTGGGACGTACTCTCACTGCAAAAAGCACCACGTACACTTGCATACATGTGGCTGCGAGAAGCAGAACTCCAGTCAGAAGCTCTGAGGAAGGTGTCTGATAGACACCGAAACGTAAGCGTATACATTTGTACGTACAGTACTAAGATTCTGTGGTTGTGTATAATTGAAGGCAATATCCTTTTCGATCAACCTGCTAAAATTAATTTCGGAAACAATTCTCCGAACATTTTCATTAATTTCCCTTCTTGACTATTATTTCCAGTTGACATCAATTCTATGTAATTTGAATAGAAAACCAATCATTCTTTCATTGATTAAGATGGATGTGACACTTGCTGAAAATTTGAAATGGCATGAAATGACAACAAAATTAACTAGTGAGTGCTTGGACACTTTATTTTCATGAAAATTTGGTGTGTGTGTGTGGGGGCATTAGAAAAAGGGTGTGATTAAATTTAGGCGAAAAAAATACTGGTACGTTTATTCAAGAGGTGAGAGTACATCTCTGCTCTAATACTCGATATGTTTCCAGTTGACGATATTTTGTTGTAATATATTCTCAAAATCTATGTAATGTCCTTGGATGTACTAGCATTAAGAATTCCTAGCTGCTACATACACATATTAGAGGCATCTGTATCTGTATCTGTATAGCCGGTATAACCGCCTTTTGGCGTAACACACCGCATCAAATGCACTCTCGAGACAAAACAAGAAATATTCTGAATGAGGAAATCTGTCTGAAATAAACATTTACTAGTAAGTAGTTGCAATTCCTAAAGTACATTTTTTATGCGTTTAAAATAGCTTGATGTGTTTGCAATAGCTTCAAAACATGCTACATGCTTTATTTTGGGGGTACCGCCCATAAATACTATGTAGTACTAGTAGCTAGAACCAGCGTATGATACAAAACATACCAACCGTTTTCCACCAAGTTGACAAATGGATTTGTACTTTACAGGTATCAGTTTGCTATAATGGGAATTGATTCAACTTACCACATTAAAATAATGGCTAAAAATTGACTTTCAAACTAGTTTTGCTGCCTTGAAATTGCTTTGATGCTATTAAAAAAAAAAAAAAAAAACTTGTGAATGGCTTACTCTCAGAGACAAGTTTTGCATAAAAATGGCAGTGTCAACAACAAGAAAGTTGTCTGCCTCTGAGAACATTTTTCAAGAGCTTGAAGCCAAGTTACAACTTTGTCTAAAAAATTGAATACCGTACGTAATTTTTTATTTTTTTCATGGTACTTTTAGTTGTTTTCACTGTCATTTCTGTACTGTGATTGAACTTATCATTACAGTTAACAAATAATTCCTGGACTTTCTTTTTCCTGCACCTGTCGCCACCGTGAAAAATATAGTTCCATGAACATATCCACCTTTCTCAGACAGTAAAATTATGCTACCGTGAACATAAAGTGAATTACAGTACATGTGTACTTATATTCTTTGTTGGCATGGGTCAGCTACTACAAGGTCTTAGACTTTACTCTCTATATACAAAATCATACATAGTTACACAAAATTTTTAAGTGGTTGTCCTACTTCACAGAATTGTTGACGCTTCAGCTGCAGGTGTTTTACATAATGCAAACAGCAAGGCTTTATTTTAGCGCCCAAGTTTCTTCCTGTCTACGTGCCTGCATGTACACTTCAACGTATGACTCAGAAGTCAAAGGTAGAGATTTAGCATATCTAAAGCTTCTTAGGCGCCCCCCTCCCCCTTTTCTCGAGGTGGTTAGTAGCAGTTCAATACAACTTGCCGTTTCGAACTCACCTTACTTTAAGGAGTACAATAACTCGTCTTGAGTAGCAGCCTTGGTTTCGTCGGCTCCGTCCCGTACAGGCGCTGGTTGGTAATTGTTGACGGAAGGTTGAGTGAGTACCTCGGGGCAGTATACCGTTCCTCTACCGGCTTCCACAGAACAAGTGTCTCCGTTCCCCTCGTCCAAAGTACGTACCGGCTCGAAAAATGCCGTGACTCCCGGTAATTATGCCTAACCAGGAGAGGCTACCTGTTGAAATGATGCAGGCGTTTACCGGGGAAGTCTATAAAATGAAAAGCTGCACCAAGGGTTGAAGGAAACGGGGAAATATAAGACACTATTGGAGCATGAAGCTGACGACAGCTTCTTCGACCTGGAGACATTCACTGAAACGAAGATCCAAGACCACAGATGCTTTACAAAATTGGCTGTAAAGTTGAAACATCATGTTCGTTTAACAGTATATATGAGTAACAATTTTAATATTCACTGCTTGAAAGCATCAAATGAATATACTTAGATTTAGCTACGCTAATTGTTTGTCTTAGTCTTATAATTTGATAGAATAATGTTAGTCTTAAGATAAACTTATCAGGCAGTATTACCAAGGGTACGGAGGTGTATGGGGTCTTGAACCTTAATCCGGGTTGGACCAGCATGCTTTGCTCCCATTACGTCACTTTAACAAAATGGCGTCGCGAAAATTTTCTTTGAAAGTGCTGCGGATTTTTCTGGTCATTTCTACGTTTCTGTGGGCTTCAGATGGCAGGAAACACCACTTGGTCCTCCAGGTATTTACTCTATGTTACTGTAAAGAGCGAGGAGTTGATCTGTTGGAGAGAATTTGTTGTAAGAGTAAAGTTTATCTGAGGACACGTTGGCAGCCAGTCAGAGGGGGGGGGGCGATGATGTCATGGTCACATCTTAGCTTCTTGTTCATAAAAACAACATCTTAATTGTTTTAACGATCATTTTGTGCCTGTAACAACAGAAAATCATTGCTATATGGCACAGACATGATGGTCTAGATCAATTTTAGGTTCCTTTTTGTGAGTGGCAGGAAGTTTTTCTTTTTTTTTTTTAATGTCATGTTTGGTTTAGGATCTTTGGTTTACTGTAAATCACTTAATATTCCTGGAACATGTACTTTTATAGATTTGGAAGCTGGTGTGTTATGCTGAAGGGCAGTTATACCGACTATACTGATACAGATATTCATGTTTTATGTGGTCACTTCTGTACCATGATGGCATGAATTTATCATTTGCCAGGAACAAAATATTATAATTCACTGACTTTCTTTCTTCTGTACCTGCCGCCACCGTGAAAATAAAGTTCGGCGAACATGTCCATTTTTCTCAGACCTCGAACACTGACGCAGATATTAAGTGATTTACAGTATCTTGAGATATCAGAGTGTGGTGACAAATTTTTGTTTGCTGGGGTCACGGACAAGTGTTAACTAGATATACTTACATATATTTGTACTTGTACTGGGGCCCAGGCTGTACTCTGTATCACCACACTGTGATACACAAACAACTGGTGTGATGTGACACTGGATCAGGACCAGATTAATAATATACAAACAAGAATGTTCAGTACTGACAACGTTTTCTCTCGGCCTGGCTTCATTACAACATTAAAACTTAATCTTTTGCAAAACTTTTGTTCATGAAGAAGCCTTACTCGACTGTAGACGGTATCAAGGTATCAAGGTATGAAGTCAATCATAGGTAATATTTATGTATTTATGTTTACCGAAGGAAAACATATTGTTTTTGCTACACGTTTCCTATTCTTCTTCTTCTGTTCCACACACTGACCTCTGACCTAGCCAATGACCTGAGTTGTTGACATCTCTCACCATGGTAACTGGTGTTGGATTACATAATGTTGCAATTTTATACTAGGGGGATTTATACTCCTGTGACCCTGTCTGACCATATATATGAATGTATTTGAGTAAGAATTAACAGAGAAGACCACATGTGAAGGTAAACATTATGCATTTGCTTTGCAAATGTTACCTTTCTAGTTGTTATTTGTTTTATTGAGGGAATAAGCACTATAAGGTTTTGATTCATCCTATTCTTACACTTACATGTAACCGGTGTTCTAGCCAACATCCTGCTTTCAATCCTTTGACGAAATGTTGTGACCTATCAGTATTACTAGTGATGCATACCGGTTCACTGGACTTGGATCCGGACTTGTAAGAATGTTTAGGTTCAAGTCCAAAAAAACCTAAAAGTCAAGAACCGAGTCCGGACTTATTACCATAAAAGACCATTTGCACATACCCCCTTTTCTTTTCAAACCACCTAAAACCTTCCGTAGATTACAAAATTTTTGCTGCAAAATGAAGAAAACATTGCCATTGGGCATCGTCAAGTACCGGCCTCGATGTTATGTGGCCAATGTTTCACCCAGACAACATTGCAAGGTTGCCAACATGCAATTTTGTACATGCCATGGGTTTAGGTCCGGACTTACCAGTCCGGACCTGAACCTAAACCTCTGGACTTGAATCCGGACCTGGACCTAAAATTGGGTTTAGGTGTGCATCACTAAGTATTACAGACAAATATTTTGCCCATTCTTGTTGAAAGACACACAAATTTGCACCCAAAAATGAAGCTAAAAGCTCTTTTGTATAATTTTTCACTAAAACTGTAAAAGCAAAATTTGCTCCTAAAATTTAGGAAATAGCTAGCCTGGGTGTCATCCAATTTGATACGGCAACCTCGAAAAGATCATTTTTTTTTGTGTGTGGGGGGGGTGCCATTACAAATCAGATGACACACAGGCTAAGAAATAGCATTTCAGATCGAATTTCAATTGGCACCTAAAATTTGTACCAATGTGCAATTTTGCACATTTCTGAAGAAATGTATTTCGAGCCCTGTACCTGTATATACTTGTCTGGTTGAAATTCTGACATATGCAATATTGTCTGACATCCATACAGGGTGAGAAGAGATCCTATGTGGACCTGAGCACGTTTGGTTTCCTGAAGGGAGGAACTCTGTCAGTCCAGGTGACAGGATTCAGGGTCCATGTACCTACACCCTTACCAAATATGGACTCAATGGTAAGTAGAAAAATCATGCTTGTGTGAAATGTACTTATTGAAGGATTTGTAATATGTTATTAAGGCCTAGAAAAATGTTGACAATGTGTTCCGTATTTCAGTCCGGAAAAAATATGGTTGAGTACAGTTGCAGGTAGTGATTCCCTTTCTTTTTCATTACTTTTTTAAAAAGATTTTGGGTTTATTTTACCCAATTAACTCAATACTCTCATCTGCCAAATAAACATACCCCCGGAATAAACGTACCCCCCGGACAAATCTTCAAAATCAAATAAACATACCCCCGGAATAAACGTACCCCCCGGAAAATTACCAAAATTGACGGGTAACCTGTGTCTCTTGTACTAAAATGCACCCTTACTGATATATGCACAAATCTTTAACTGTTATTTGCAATTAGGAATTTAAATAGACAAAAAAAAAGAGCATTTAATATTTTGTATTTTGATAAGCACCACCCATGACAATAGAACATTCAGACGAATTTATGCACGCGGTGATTGCAAAAACCGGCCCGAAAATGACAAGTTTCTTGCTACAATATGCGTTTATAAACGTCTTCACGTCGATGATTTGTCAATTTTTTTCCCACGAAGTTGAAAAAAATTACTGGTTTTTAAAAAATTAATAAACGTACTGTGCAAAATAAGAACGTACTGGGTGGATGTTTGGGCCCAAAAAAATAAACGTACCCGTATGTTTATTTGGCAGATGAGAGTAATAGTTTGCATCAGAAAATGTGTGACGGTGAAGTAACATCTCAGGATTTGAGATTCAGATCTTTTATAGAAAACGAAAAAAAAGAAGGTTAGAGTCAGCAGTTTTTTGTAGGGTCGGTCAGGAAACTGGAAACACATTTTTTCCCTTGGCCTAGATACATGACAGGGTTCTCACCAGGATTTGTTCACAGCGTAGGGGTCAGGTATAGAAGGGCAACTTTCTGCGGCGCGAGTCACGCACCGAGTCCCCAAAACATGGGCCTGATATTCTCCCCAAAAAATTTTGTAACTCATATTAACCACTTAAGACACTATTTATTGTTTATTGGGGGACAGATTTTGTTTTCCCTCTGTTATAGCGTCATTCTTAAGTTATATTTTCATTTTTTAAAGATTAATGAAGCTTCTGCCCCCAAAAAACACCCCTACGCTGGTTGAAACACAGTGTAGGGGGCTAAATCACAGCGTAGGGGGTCAAAATCACAGCGTAGGGGGCCCCTACGCTCAAACAGCCTAGTGAGAACTATGCATGTAGTACTATTAATAACTATTTTGTGCACAGTTCATAGCAATGGTACTAGTCAAAAAATGCCAAAGAAGACCACTCAGGGGAGAGATAAAGGTCTATATGGATAGGATCCTTCAAGTTAATGCTTGAGTCAAGGTACAATTAGTTATCAAAGGGACCACTAATGATCACATTGGCCAGGTGGTTCTTATGTTAAGATGGCCAGTTGTAGTACAGATTTGGCTGTAGTTAGTTTGACTAATCATTAGTAATAAATACAGTGTATTAGTGCTGCATATACCGGTTCACTGGACTTGGATCCGGACTTGTAAGAATGTTTAGGTTCAAGTCCAAAAAAACCTAAAAGTCAAGAACCGAGTCAGGACTTATTACCATAAAAGACCATTTCACATACCCCTTTTCTTTCCAAACCACCTAAAACCTTCCGTAGATTGTAAAGTCTTTGCTGCAAAAGGAAGAAAACATTACCATCGGGCATCGTCAAGTACCAGCCTCCATGTTATGTGGCCAAAGTTTCACCCAGACAACATTGCAAGGTTGCCAACGTGCAATTTTGTATATGGGTTTAGGTCCGGACTTACAAGTCCAGAACTGAACCTAAACCTCTGGACTTGAATCCGGACCTGAACCTAGAATTGGGTTTAGGTATGCATCACTATAGTGTATGTACATGTATGTTCAATTGTATCAGAGCAGTGCAACTAACATGTTGTTTCTTTTTCCTGTTTCTTCCACAGTTTGGCCTAAGTTTGGACAAGACAAACAGCGATGGGTTATCCAACTATCTGGTAGGCATTAACTTAATTAGCATAAAGTTATGATTATCTTGAAAGTTCATCTGGGTTGGTAGAAGTCATTATGAAGCAGTTTAAACTGTGATTTCCAAGAAATTGGACCTACCTAAATTTTTGACTGCAAATCCAGTCTTTGTCAAGGACAGGAGTGTATAAGTTGTGGATGAATCTTAAAAAGCTTCATATTTGGTACCGTAAATCCATTTAAAAATGCGGTTGGAAATTATAGCGGTCGGCGAAAAATGGACAAGCTCACGTCACTTAATTATAGCGGTGTGAGAACATGGCTGATGTGTGTAAAAA